CGGGGGGGGTCCGAGCCCCCCCAGCCTCGGGTTGGGGTCCCCCGCTCAGGGCATCTGGCTTAGTTGGGGGAACCCAGCTGGGACAGGGGTTGACAGCCTTTTCCCGGGATGCGCAGCTCGCCCGGTTCCTCCCGGGTACCCGCAGGGTACCACCGTCCTCATCCTCCATCCAGCGGGCTGGGACCGTGGGCTCGGGTAGTGTAACCTCGCCGGTGATGGGGCTGGTGACACTGGGGTCCCAGCGCCCCAGGAGAGCAATTCGGCCACTTTTCCCGCAGGGAGGTGAAGGTCCGGGGGTGCAGGGGGGTTATTTGATGGAAAAACTTCAGCAGGGTCAGATCAGGACTTGCTCTGCAGAGGAGGAAGCTGAAGGTGATGCTGTGTCCAGAGTATCCCTGTGCTCGGGTACCACCTGGCATTGAGGCATTTTTCACGTTCGGTAGAAGTGCCGTGGGAGTTGAATTTTGCCTTGTCATGCAAAAGTTAAAAATAGTTGCACTTAATTCAGCACTTCAGCTTTTCATCCTGCTTTGGTGCTCACTTTGCAGTCGGGAAGAGCCTTCTTACGGGGATGTGCCAGTTTTTATTCGCTATGTTTTGCCTCCTTCTCTCTTTAGCCTCCCAACTCGGTGGTGATCCTGCAGCTCCCAAGCCCCGAGCGCAGGTTTTGGGTAGGGATGCAGACCTGGAGCCTGCTTCCAACCTCCTCAGAAACCTGTTCTGTGACTTCAGGCTGACGCTGTCACTTCTGTCACCCCTAGGCATGGAGCGGTCAAGAACGAGGACACCTTCAAGCCCTCCCCGTTCCACTTGGACCTGTGGTTCTACTTCACTCTGCAGAACTGGGTGCTGGACTTTGGCCGTCCCATCGCGATGGTGAGTGTGGCAGAGGGAGGTCCACGCCTCTGCTCGCCTCCAGCTTATTTCAGGTGGAGGGCAGGTGGGCAGAGCCGGGGGGGTCCCCTGTAGACCCCCAGGATGTTTCCTACACCAAGCAGACACCCTCGGGGAGCTGTCCTTGAGACAAGGACTGCTGCCCTGTACTGGTGTAACTGGTACCAAGCTCCAGTCACGGGAAAACTTGTTCCACATCATTTATCCCCAACTTTATAATAACAAAAGTTACCTGGAGAGGTTCCCACTGCTCCTCCCCGTACCTTGCCTGTATGTCCGGAGCTGGGGACTCCAGCTCTCCAGGCAGAAGTGGCCGTTACCCTCAAACATCATTTTTTTATTGCTGGTACCTGCACGTGGCAGAGGGTTAACAGAGATCCGCAGCTGCAGGACTCTGGAATGCCCTTCTCGCTCGCTCAGCCCCACAACTTCATGGCATTGGCGCCAGGCAGCGCTGCAGAAGCAAATGGCTGAGATGTGAATATATAAAATGCATTTAGCACCCGCTCCCCGACTGCGCTTTTAGGGATGCTCACTGCCCGAAGAGCTGCCCAGCTCCACTACCAACAGCGACGGGAAGTCAGGCTGACAGTGAGCAAGCAGCAGCAGTCCAAAGCGAGGATTTTCTGGGGCTGGAATCGTGAGCTGGGCGGTGGGGATGTACTGATGTGCTTTTTTCCCCCCTTTCCTCAGATAATCCTACCTTTGGAGTGGTTTCCTCTGAACAAACCCAGTGCTGGAGATTATTTCCACATGGCTTACAATGTCATCACCCCCTTTCTTCTGCTAAAGGTAAACCTCGAGGCGCAGGTGATATTTTTTTTAATATTACTGGTTGTACAAGCGGGGCAAGCAGTGCTGGTTTGTAAAGGCTGAGAGGTTGTTAGGAACTTGTTGAACAAATGTTTGTTAATCACAAACTCTGCAAGCGAGCTGGCCCCACTGGACGTTAGGGGTTTGCTGCTCCGGAAAGAATTTGTGATGCCACCTTTGAAAGAGACCAAATAAATACAACTCAATTTCCCAGATATACAAAGCAAATCGCTTCCCCCAGGATCTCTGGATCCAGGAGGAGTCAGAGCCCTTCTCCCTGGCTGAGCCAAGGTGTATTTTTAAGACAACATCCATCCGTGACTTAAAAGACCTCAGGAGACAGCTGGAGCTAGAGCAGATTTTCTGAATTGTTCACGGCTTAATTACACTTGCTCTTCAACATCAGAATTATATCTTCAGCTTGAATTTCTCTAGTTTCAGCTGCCAGCCACTGGGTCGTGTGAGCCATTGATGAGGTTAAAGACTGTCGTATCATTAGAAATCTTCTGTTAAATACTTAGCAAGCAGAAGAGATGAGAAAGCAATTATAAATATATTTTAACCTTCATTAGCTAGAAATTGAATTATGTCCTGAGATGTAGATGATTCTCTCTCCCCGAGTCTGGCTGGGAGCTGTGAAATGGCCAAAGAGGAATATTCAGGACCAGGTCTGATGGGGGGTGACAGCTCCGAAGCTCGGTCTGACCCAGCACAGCCTGACACAGCCCATTGCTGCAGGCTGGGTACTCACGGGTCACCATTTGCTGTCCCGGACTCTCCTGGCAGCCCAGCAGGAGGGCTGACCCACGGAAAACACCCGTTTGTCATTCCGGGCACATTGCTGCTGCCCAGGGTCCCCTCGAAGGATGTGTCCCCCCAAATCCTCTCCGTCAGATGAGAGCTTTGTGCTCCCCCCGTCCTCCCCAGCTCCTCTGACATTCGTACAGCTCTTACAGAGAAAGGGAAAGCTAAGCCTCAAAATTAAAGACGAATAAGGAGCTTTTCGCCGGTTATGAAGGGCTGCAAAGCTGATGTGGGAGCAGGGAGACAGGAGGCGAAGGTGGCCCCAGCTGATCCTCGGGCTGGGCTGGTGTGTCCCCCCCGACCCGTGGTTCCCGAGGCCATTTTTTACCCGGGGTTCCCGAGGCCACCTCGCCGTCCCCTCCAAAGCCTAAGCTGGGATTTGTGGTGTTCGAGGTCTTTCCCACTTTGCCAGCTGAGCGGGGAGCTCCTTTCCGGAGAAAAACTCCTGCTCCATCATCCCCAGCCGGGCTCGGAGCAACCCCGGGCTCCCCCCCAGCCCCATGTGCCAGCCCCCGCAGCCCACAGGATGGAACAGGATTGCTCAGCGCTGAAGCTGATGGTCAGAAGGGTGCCTCAACCGGTTTTGCTGGTCATTAGATATTTTGAGATACAGGGTTAAACGCAGCTTCCTCCTAGAAGCAAAATACAGAGAGAGGTGAGGCTGGTTCCGTTAGGAAAAAATAAAGAAAAAAAAAAACCCCAAACAGTTCAACAGGAGTGCTTTGAAAATCACCCAGCAGAGCATTACAAAGGAGCGAGTGTCTGGGAGGCGGGTGTGCTGGGCTGGAGGGCTGCTGGAGGCTCTGCGTGCCGCTGGAGGGCACAGCCAGCCTTCCCGAGCATCACGCACCAGCCGGAGAAAGAACTGCCTGCTCCTGTCTCAGTCACGGGTTGTGATCCCCTCTGGGGCAGGCATCGCTTCCAGTCCTCTATCAGAAGCCCTGGAGCGCTGACTCGGTCGAAGCGTTGACTCGGGTTAAGGGTGCTGCTTTGCAGAAAGGTTTAACAAGGGCAAAAAATGTGGTTTTATTGTTGAAAACAGGGATAAAGTCTGTACTCAAACCTGAAACCCACTGAGGCTGGTGGAAATGTCTCCGAGCTGTGTTTAGGGAAGGAGCTACAATCAGGGAAGCTCGTTTGGGGCAATCGTGCCGCTTTCCTGGGGGTTGGCTGTGCTTTCCCCAGCAGATGATTTTGGCAAACCACCGTAACAAGTCGGAGAGGGCAGCACTTGTCGCCTGCCTCCACTGGTACCTCCTCGCTGTTCAACCCACCTCTGTGTTTTCAGCTCATCGAGAGATCCCCCAAGACCTTACCGCGATCCATGGTCTACGTCAGCATCATCATGTTCGTCATGGGAGCCAGCATCCACCTGGTCGGAGACTCCGTCAACCATCGCCTGATTTTCAGCGGCTACCAGCACCATCTGTCTGTGAGAGAGAATCCCATCATCAAGAACCTGAAGCCAGAGACACTGGTAAAGAGGCTGCGCTTTATACAAGCTCATAAAAAATATATATTAATGGCTTGTTCTGATTTAATAGCATCCCGTTCCCTCTGCCCTTTTAAATCGCTTTTCATTGCGTTGCAGATTGATTCCTTTGAGCTGCTGTACTACTACGATGAGTATTTAGGTCATTCGATGTGGTAAGCAATTTTCAGTCTATCTAGCAGCCTCAGAACATAATACAAGGAAGGGCAGATCTGAGCTGATCAGAGCTTAATACAGAAAAAACCAAAACAGAGCTGATGAGAGCTGGCTGGGGATAATGTTCTCACAGCCAGCGTGATTGCAGGGGATCTCTCCCGTGGAAAATCACACAATCACAGAATGGTTTGGGTTGGAAAGGACCATCGAGATCCACCCCCCCGCCACATCCGTTTCCCCCTCGTTTTGTCTCGGTCTCAGTGATGTTTCTGGGACGTGGCAGTTTTTGGACAGCCACAGGGGCCAGAGGAATGGCTCGTCCCTCAGCCCCCTTCCACGGGACACCCAGTTCCAGTGTGGGTCTGGGGGTCCGCAGCCTCCTTCGCCATCACCACCCACATTTTTTGCTCCTCTAGAAGTTAACCCCAAAACAACCCGACTCTGCCCAGTCTCGCTCCCCCTTTGCTCGCTCCCCTCCTTTCCCGCACATCCCTCTGGCGATGGGGAAGGGCTGCTCCCGGAGCCAGACCAGTGCTGCCCAGTAACAGACCATTTGGCCGTGGTGGCCCAGGGACGTGAGCCCGATTTCGGTGCCACCCTCCCAAGCTGATCCTAACTGCAGACGTGCCCCGTGTCCTTCTGCTCTGCCCACCCCGAGGATCCCAGGAAGGACTGTCTGGCCCTAGATAATCCCGAGATGCTCAGAGCAGAGGGAAGTCTCCCCACCAGGAGGCTTTCCCAGTTTATTTGCTGCTCCTTGAGTGCTGTGAAGGAAGCAAATCCCCTTCTTTTAAATAGAAAAGGGCTCGTAGGTTGTTGAAAGCCTGGTCCCCATCCT